TAACAAAATTCCTTTGATAGACACGTGTAGCTGATACAATTGTAAATAGATAGCAAAAAATGGAATACGTGGAAAGAATGGAGTAGAAATTGGAAATAAACAGAACATTAGAAACAATATCCCAAAATTTCTATGAAAATGATGCCAACCATTGATATTCGAGCAGACAGAATCTTGGTCAAAACATCTGTACCCATTTGACAAGATGATGCAACAGCAAACAAAAAAAAAATCCGATACTTCTAAATGTTCGGCGAGGGATGCGCCTATCTGTGTAATTTGTTGTTGTAATTTGATAGTTCGAACTCCCACCGCTTACGTGTACAATGCAAATGTATTTCAGTGTAGCGCTAGTAGCATATAGTTTGCCTTAGACGCAGCTCTCGATGTTCGGTGCTTTCGTCGCGCGGCCAACTGAATTTCAAAACGAAAGCAATGATAATCGTACACAGAATCACCAGAGAAATCGAACAAATCCAAACAACTCCCGTAAATGGTAGGTAGTAAATGTTTGAAACATAGGAAATCGGTGGAGATCGCAGAACAAAGGCAATCGATGAAGGAATCGTCATTGAAAGGTAGTCGAGATAATCGATTCGATCGGCTGTCATAAAAATTATGGTTCCTGTTTTTTCAATGAAAATATTTTAGAGAAAGAGAGAGAGAGGTTTTAATTTTCATTTCAAACCACCAATGTCCGCTTCTTTGCGTTGCAATTGTCCATACAAACCAGTAATTCGGCCAGTCTTCTTGTCTTTATATCCCCATGTACGGTGTACATCACCAACCATTGTTGTATTGATCGTGTCGATCCAATGATTCGTAATCACAAGGGAGAGCTTTGAGATGGTGTCAATTCAATTGTGACTGAAACAACAACAAAAAACTGTGCACTAACGTATGTAATCAAACAGTCTGTTCACTCACTGATAGTCATCTAAATCGGTATGATTTTCGGATCCATTATTAATGAAAACTGTTGACGCAATCAATTGAAGTCCATTCAAGTTCTGACGTCGCCGGGAAAGTTAATGAGTTGTACGTAAATCAATAAGTCCTTCTGTGATGCTCCACAATCCAAACTCTTCAAAAATCCATGGGCTTTTTTGCAATTTTATAAACTATTGTGAAAAAATTGAATTTATTCCATGAGAAAGTAAATTTTGCATTTTTTATGCTCCACATAACCTTGTTTCAAATTATATCCATTCGAATTTTCATCTCGATTTGCAAGAATAATGTTGCTGCCAGGCAAAAATGATAGCTCTTGAATGGAAACATTCGTTGCATCGGCAATAATCCATCGATACGGATGAGCAAAGTATTTTCCTCCACATCTGACAGTATATTTAATCGCTTCTCACAGTTTGCATCCGCGAAAAACCATTGCCCATTTGTTCGCCTGAGTATCTGAATCACATGTTTGTTCGTAATGGTGAATCGTCGCGTTGTCCAGATAATCTTCGCATAAATTTCAATCCGCGTACTGCATTTGATACTCGCGCATTCAGTTTCTCTGCAATCAATTTTTGGAATAGTATATCGGTCGAAATTAGAAATTCTAGATCTCCAGTCGCGTTTAAAAATAACCTAAGGCATCTGTTACGTTCTACGCAGTAAATTTTTCGACATCTTTCAAATGGTAAATTTCTCGCACCATTGTTATGAATTTTTTTATCCAATTTAGATTAAGATTGACTTTCCATTTGATTTCTTTCATTGATGTTAACGTACTTTAAATTGCAAAAACTCATCATCATTGTATTTTCTATTATTATTTTTCATTGTATCATCATTCTATTTGCTATCAAGTTAGTCCAAGTAGCTTAAATGTAAGTTGAGTAACAGTAAAGTACTGAGCTTCATGTCAAGTCTACTGTTAAGTCTAAATCTTAATGATTTCTACAAAAATCAATAGATAGCGTGAGGGTCCAGCATTTGCCTTGTGATAAAAATGGAATTGGCCGAAACGGCCAGTTTATAGGTGGAATGCGAACCATTTTTGTGTTCCTGAAGAGATAGGAGACATATACTTCATGCAATATTCTGAAATATTTCAAGATATTCATTTTTGCTTGAGAAACTGGCCTCCTATTTCTCACCAGGAACGCATATATGATTCCCATGTAACTAAGCGCATTTGGCTAATCCCATTTTTATAATCAACAACACATATATATGTACATGATGACCCTTCATCACGAATTGAACAAAAAAGTACCCTTAAAGTAAATTCATATCATTAGTGCGCAGGCGCACTCCATCATCACATACACTTAATTCCTTTGACGCACACGTATAGCTGTTGTTTTTCATTCCATCTGAACAAACACAGAAGTGGTGTGTTGGGCTGAAGCCGTTTTCGAAAATGATTATTCGTTTATTGTGCGACGTTTCGCTTTTATTAGGAGCATCATCAGCCAAAATTTATCAAATTACGAACCAGTTACATATGAATTTAAAATGTTTTCGAACGTATTCCATTTTTTGCGATCAATTTACAATTGTATCAGCTACACGTGTCTATCAAAGGAATTTTGTTATTGAGCTTCATTGAATGTTTGAACATGATTACACTATGCAACAGCAAAAGACAACCACAGAAAAAGGAACTTATTTCCAATGTTTTTGGGCCCACTTAATCCAAATCTGGCGTTATTTTTGCTCTGGCACGTCTAGTTTTTGAGATACACTTATTACGGTTTCCGTATCAGATTTGGATTAAGTGGGCCAAAAAAAACCTTGGAAATGAGTCTCCTTTCTTTCGGAGAATTTCGTTTTCGAAATTTGTTGCATAGTGTTAGTAGACTTCAATTCGTAAATTCCATAACTGTAAAATACTACACTTCATCAATTATTCGTTGCAGTACACGTGCCAGTTATTGGTAGATGAATGGTATAAAAAAGGCACCACCGCATAGGGAAAACCAAACAAATTCAAAGGATCTTCTGAAGAAGTACAAGACGGTTCTCTACTATCATTGTGCAAGAGGTTTAAACTCTGTTTCGTTGGCAAAAATGAATCTAATACACGGTTTGTTTTTGGTGCTATTTATCGTTGAATTCTCTGTAAGTTATTTCTTTTCCTTCATCATTTTCATTTTTATCCAATAAAATACGATATTTCTGTAGAACTGAAAGTAAACACGAAATTTACTTTTCTAGGAACTTCATGGAAAACGTAAGACAATTTTTATGAACACGCTTTTTATGAATCAAAAAGATTTTTTAGACTGTTATCATCAAGGCAACCAAAAATATTTACGAAAAAACTCAAAATATTTATTTATTTATGCACGAAAAAACATCGAAATATTTACGATAAAAATCTTATATTTAGAATATTTATTGACATAATGTCTAAACTTAATTAATTTTCAAAGTTTTTGCAGAAAATGATGACGTGTTTGGATAAATTATCGAGAAGAAATGAACGTCGATTGTCGCTTAAAACATTCTTGTATCTGGAAAATGACCGTTCGACGTCGGTTGACGTAATGGGAGCGAATTTGAACGCGTCTATTTCGGCCGGGGATAGACCATCAACGTATTCGTCTTTCGCAGTACATTTTCCAGATACAAGAATGTTTTCGATTTGCTTTTTCTGACAATCCTTTGTTTCGAGCAACCACTTAATCATACTTTTTCCTAAATTGTGGTTGCACGCGCATTTCTTTCAAATGAATAAAATCTGTAAACGTCTACACAGTAATGTATACACTGTACAGTGTATACTGTGCAAACAGCACACATTGCAGAATTGCAATTTTAGTGTTTTGATTAATAATAAGTGACACAATTCGATATAATTCCATTATCTTTGATTTGCAAAGTCATGCAGAGACGTTCAAAGTGTATTTGGAATGCTTTGTCTTGGAATATGACTCATTTTTTATTGCGAAATATGTACAACATCTAAAATATTTATCATTGCTTGAAAAATACTCAAAAATATTTCTGAAAAGACGTCAAAAATCTTAAAATATTTACGAAAAACTCAAAAATTGAGAAATATTCATTCATGGTCAGAAAATGCCAAAATATTTATTTAAATATTTTTTGTTGCCCTGGTTATCATATTTAATTTAAAATTTTAACTTTTTTTCAAATGAACAGATGGCTTCTTCTCGCAAGCTCTACTTAAGGGCGAAGTGATTGAAAACATGTCACAGGCAAAGTTTGTAGCTGGAATCTATGCCCCTACAAGTAAGTCAGCTTTAGAATCATTTTTATTCGTTTTTTCGTGTGAATTTTCGATTCAAATATTCTATCAATTGTGTGTGTTCATTTTTGCTTGTACTGAGACAAAACGATTTTATTACAGGATATTTGTATGCATTCAAAAACAAGTTAACTGAAGAAATGTTGTCTACATGTACCGCATTTATTCTGTCAACAACGGAAATTATCACGAATGCTCATTGTGTGGCTGGTGCCCCATATATTTATGTGGTAGCTGGAATGAAAGTTGCATTAGAAAAAAACCTAATCACAGTCGAAAAAGAGAACATTGCATATCACCCTTATTATAGTCATTTAATTTTTGGTGCATTTGATATTGCCAAAATTACACTGAAAACGCCATTAGAGTTCAGCGATACCGTTGGCAGTATCGAACTCGTGGACAAAGATTACAAATTGAATAACCCATCAGAAGTGGTCACTGCCTATGGATATGGCGTGTTGAACAACACCGAACCATTGATATTGAGGCGTTGCGATGCGAACTATAGATCTTATGTCGAACGAGCCAACATACTCAATCCAAGTCAGACTTTGTACTTTACCACTGGTGATTCTACAAAAGATGGTGAAATTATTACAGCGGCCGATTCGGGTGGACCAGTTGTTTCAAAAACAAATGGCAAAATCGTGGGCATAACTATGGGTATAAATGGAACAACAGATGGTCGTGGAATATTCCTCCCAATTACGTCATTCCTTGATTTTATCCATGATCCAAAGGTATCTAATCTCAATGCCCCAATTCTCATTCTTAAAAACGCGAACAAAATGTATTTTTGCTTTTTTTCAGAGCGTGAATCCACTTCCACCTTCGCTTACACCTAACGAAGCTAAATTTACAGCCGATATAGCGGCACCAGGAAGTAAATGTGCATTCTAAATTTGAATTAAATCAATTTATTAATCTTCATATTTTTTTTTCTTTCGACGGCGGAAGATTAGATTTTTCATGATTCATAAACCAATACTCATCCTGAGATATTTTTCTATTACAGAGTTTCTTATCGCCACCAAGGAAGCATATGCCAATGCCGGCGAAGATGCTCTAATACAATTTAATGCAATCATTTTGTCGGAAACCGAGATTTTGACCTGTGCACATAATGTGTACGGCGCCCCATATGTCTATGTAATAGTTAATAAACTCACAAGCAATGCGAAAAAAATCAAAGTCACTAAAGACCAGATAGAAATTCATGAGAAATACGCATTTCCTGAATTGAGATTTAACATTGCCAAGATTACACTTAAAGAACGGTTGGAGTTCAACGACAACGTCGGCAGCATCGATTTGGTGGACAAAGATTACAAATTGAATGACCCGTCCGAAATGGTCACTGTCTACGGTGATATGGTGCTGCATGGAACAAAGAGAATGAGACGTTATGATGCAAAGTATTTGGATGGCGCCAAAGTATTTGGTGCAAATGATTTGATGTGTTACACTTTTGATGAAAGCATGGGAACTCCCTCTGCCTTTGGAGGACCGATGATTTCGAAAAAGAATAACAAACTCGTGGGCATGACCATATTTCGTTCGCCTGGTAAGCCAGTTGTTTTTCAACCGATTGCACCGTTGTTCGATTGGATCCGGAAGCCAAGGGTAAGACGTAATTAAAGAAGAAGAATATAGGCTTGAAAAAGGGGGTTTCAGGCGCCTGTAAAAGCTGAATACCGTTTCTTTTTTTGTTCCTGTCATTTGATGTTCAACAAAAGAACCGAATAAATTTGAGAATTTAAGAAAAATGCATTTTATTTCTCATTCGCCCATGCGCAGTTATATGATTATTATCTGAAGTAATTGCGATCAGATGAAAAACCTCTAGACGAGGTTAAAATGGAGTGACGCTCCTGTGCGTGGGTTTACCACTCAAAATGACTGATATCATTTTGAGTGACGCTTTGACGCTGTATTACCTCTGGATATGAAGTTCAGAAGTGTTTTTCGCATTCACTATTGTAAAAATTTATTCAAAATAAGGAAAAATATCGCGTCACGACTTTTGAATTTTGTTCCAAAGCTTTTAAGCATTTTGCCGTGTAAAAGTTCCTTTTATAAGATCCCTAATTCAAGGCAACATTTACTTACAGCATAAACATATGCTTAAAATGGTCTTACGAGGCTACGGTGTAAACTTTGAATAATAGCTTTGAAAATGGGTTCGCAATGTTGTCTTAATATTAAGCAATATAATAAGCATGCTCGCAATTACACTTTCCAATGAAACTGTCTAAGACAGTCTGTCTTCCAAGCCAATTATTAATGAAACAAGGATTCGAGGCAATCATATTGATTTTTTTTGTCTAGAAACTTTTTATGCATCTTGCCCTGCTACAGTTAGTCACCTGTATGTTTCAAGAATCTAATTTCCTAATGAAAACATATCGAGAATTGGATCAACGAAACGCTGCAACATGAAATGATCCAGAAATTCAAATTATTGATCACAATTTTCTTGAAATAAATGCAGCGAAGATATAATAATAAAAATAAAGTGAAAAATCGGTCACTTTAACTAAAACTTCGACAATTTTGTATGAGAGGTACCCGTATTTTTTGTCAAAATTTTCTTGGAAAAAATTGAGGGCCAAAAACCAAACTTCTGCAAATGCGATCAACATGAAACTTTCAGAATCTTATTTTTTCTCCAAAAAATGAAACCTCAGAAAGTTTGAAGCCAATCAGAATCGATTAACGGGTACCTCCCATACAAAATTGTCCAAAAATCGGAAATTTTAGTCAAAATTTCAAAAATTTTGTATGGGAGGTACCCGTAAATCGATTCCGATTGGTTTCAAACTTTCAGAATCTTATTTTTCACCCAAAAAATGAAATCCCAGAAAGTCTGAAGCTAATCGGAGTCGATTTACAGGTACCTAAAGTGTCAATTTTTTGAGGTTTTTCTTAGGGCAAGTACCCCAGGGTCAAATCGGAAATGGCTCATCTTCGAACTTAAACTATGTTTTTCGAATACAAAACTTTTGGCATTTCCAGATTTTGATTATCTCAATTATTTTTTGAGTTATCGTGTTAACACACACCAACGACGACAACGACGACGACGACGGCACACGAACGGAAAAGTGTCTCAAAAAGTAGTTTTCTACGCGTTTCATGAGTTTTTATGATGATCTAAACCAATTTTGCGAAAAAAGTTTTCGGGACCAATTCCTATACTTTCCCTTGACACGTTGTGTACGGAAAAGTAAAATGAATTTATTATAGGATCCAAGAAATATAAATTACCGATCGTATTTTTTTCATTTGAAGACTGAAATGAAAATTTACAATTGGTGCCGAGTGTCTGATAGAACTTGAGCTGAGTGAAAAAAAGTTAAAAATAGATTGAAACACTTTGTTTATTTGGGTTTATGTGCTCTGTGGATTGCAAAAATTTATTTAAGAAGTGATCCATCTTCAATGAAAGCTTTTCAGCTTAGGTGCATATATTTTTTAAGTGACAAAAATAGAATCAAGTTCCGAACAATACATTGTAAAAAACTTTATTAAAGTAAACTTATTTGAGAATATAGCCATTGTGTAGTGAGCCTGATTCTTCAAACTTCATTCGGCGAATGCCGATTTTTCTCTGCACATTTCCACTTTCAAAACGCATATATTGTTGAATTTCAATTTTAGGAATTTTTCCACGCAAAATACCAAGAATGAGATCAAAAATCCATAAACAAGGAAAAGCAGGGCTGCATAGCAATCAATTAATCGTACACTTCCAGAACTCTTCCCGTCCGAATCACATTTTGGACGATTTGTGGATATTCGTGACCTTTCTCTCAATTGTATACCATGCTCTCGGATTTTCATAATGCTGAAAGAAGCACGCATTTGATTTGTCCAACCGTATAGTACTCGATTTCACTTCATATTCGATACAAGACAATTTATGTTAATTTTCAATACCATTTATTTTGATGAACAGAACTCCAAAACAACAACGAGAACGCCAGTCTTTGATTTTAAAAGGTTAGTCAATTTTTCGCAATGATCAGAGAAAAAATACACCAAACACATTTCAGAATTTAAATGATTTTAATTTTCTAAATGCAGAAACAGATCCATCGAACCTCAATTTAGTTGTAGTGGAGCAACCGTGAACAAATGAATACCAACTGAAGACTTCTATTTGCTACATGTAACTTTGGATTTGAATAATAAATGCACAAGAAAAAAGTTCCGTTGTTTTGATAATGTTTGACGTCTCATGATCTCAACCGAAGCGAAGAATTGTCTTCAGTTTCAATTATCAACGTGATAATGTCGTTTTACTGCGATTGCGATAAACAATCTATTTTCATTTTCAGTCATATTCTTCGGTTAACGGTTTCAACGGTTACAAACCTTTCGATAAGGTTCGGAATTTATTTTCAGTGATTTGTTTTATTTGTGAGGTGGATTTTTTTAAATTGTTTTTGTCATTATTATTTAACAACTTATCACTGTAAAACAGGTAAATAATATAATAATTATCTGGACTTTCCGATATAATGAACGTTCACCTTCATTTCGATCATCACCATGGAAATAAGTGTATATTGAAAATGTTCATAAACTTTGGACATAAGTTTTTTTGCATAAAATGATCTCAATTTCAACTAAAATAGCCCATTTTAGTTGGATATTTACTATCGATTTTACGCCATAAACAGGCAACGTTTTATCGTTTTCATTCATACCAACTCAAATTAAGTGGCTGTTTAAATACATTTAGATAAATCGATCAAGAATATTATTGTTGGATTTCTTTATCTTGAGTATGTTTAAGTGGTAATTCAACTTTGAGGTCATTCATATTTCCCACATTTGTGCAAGAGAATTTTATTGCGTTAAAAATTGCAAAGCTCCATTCATAAACTGATTTTTCGAAGTGGCTCGTAACAAATACAAAATATTGTATTTTGTTTTTTATGACTCATATGACTTTAACGAGGCGAACATGTAAAATTTAGACAATCCGATCTTCAAATGTCACTAGTTTCATATTATTGACGTCTCAGGTGGGGTCTTTTGCGTTTAAATTTGATCGCTTGATGGTTCGATCTAAATACTCTGTCTTTCGAAACCACCGAAATTCGCAAGATGATGGAATATACTATGAGCAAAATGGGGAATTTTTTGATTTATGGTTCCTCTCATTTTCATCGTGTTTACGCTTGTTCTTGTTCTCATCTACTTAGTGATCACAACTTGCACGTATTGGATCATGGGATGGAAAAAAGACAAGTAAGAATTTAGTTTGTTATCAATATTCCTCAAGGTTTTTGGCTTAAAATAGCTTAATCATACAAATTCCATTTCATTTCTTTTGTTCGACAGAATTGCAAAACGATAACTACAACATGAAATTCTATGCTGAATAAGCCCGTACACAATCGAAACATATCAATAGATTTGTGTGCTGCGCACATAATGTTGTTGTATGAATAACGTCCTCCAAATACAAAAACACGTCCATTCACTATCAATCAATGCGTCGTTATACATCGATCAGCGATGACAATCAACTATTCCGCACCATAAAATACCTCATCAGTTCAACGAAAACATTTTTAAAAACATGCTTAGTTTCCGTTTCGCAGTTCTGTTTTTCTACGAACTTCAACAATGACTGAGAGATGACTGGAGCACACTGGGCTATCGAACGACAGCCGCATTGCAACTGTATTTACGTGCGTTAAGCACTACTTGACTCAAGCATGACTCCGCTATTGTAATACGGTATTGTATTTTATTGTAATTGGATTAATGCAATGTTCAATTTTTTTTCTATGTACATAGTTAGTATGAAATTCAATTTCAAACATGTCGGACATTATGTAGAAATAATTTTGAAATGTTCTGCGAATGTGGTTGAAAAAGGATTTGCGTGTGAAGATAAAATCTTGGTTTAGGTTTATTCATCACAGTAAAATGCAATAAATTTGATATTTTTGTTATATTCGTGTAAATTCAACATTTGAAAAAAAAAATTCAAAACAAACTCGTGTAATGAAATCAATGGGACAATATGGCGGAACGGATATAAACTGAAATGCAGTCTGCCTTATGCCTCAATCAGAATTTGTGCATGGAAGCCACCGCAGAAATTAAAACAATCAGATAAAAGCGATTCCCAGAAAATAACTCCAAAAAGGAAGACTTTGATTTTGAGTTGATCGAACTTAGGGAAAATGGTGAGGTACAACTGTTTTAAAATCGATGTTCGAGGCAAAGTTCAAACTCTGGTAAGTAGTACAACAGCATGAGCGGCAATACAAGTGAATCTAGTATACCTTCGTTCGTCAAGTGGATAAAAACCACGACCGAATATGTAATACTCCGACGAAATTCGATTTTCAATCATTATTATATTAATATATAATCCGAATATTAGATTGAGTTTCTCTTCAATGATTTTCGATATTGCAAGAACTAAAATGGATTCCAGTCACCACATTTCCAATTTTGTAAAATTATTTGAAACAATTTACTTATATTGTCAAATGAATTTGTATAAATGCATTTTCACACAGTATTAGTAGCACTTTCAGTGATAAATGATGATGAAAATTGTGAATTTTTCAATCAAGAGTGGAACAAAACAGCAACAAAACTCTGATCGTCTGTACAATCAGATAGGTGACGTCAAACAAGAACACATAGTTTGCTATAACAAGTACGCGTCTGTGTTCGTGCGTCTGTCTTAGTTCAAACGTTGAAAGTATGACACATTGCACTTAGTCCCAAAGCGACGCTGTATTGTTTATCATTTTCATGATCAGAAAGGCTGGACGATATTCAGGAGAAACGAAATACAAACCAAGTGGATGTATTAGTTGTAGATCAAAATGTAAATTCGAAATCACTTACAAGTTTTCGGAATTACTATTGATTTCGATATTTTCACTCAATTGATATTTTTTTTTGATTAAATTACTAGAAAAAGTGTACGAGCCAATTTGTTGGAGTGACGTGGATCTTTTTCAGGGAATTTACCCAAAACAGTAACATCCATGGGCTAAGATACTTCAGTGAAAGAGGGCTGCATTGGAGTGAAAGGTACTCTTTTTCAGTTCACTAATTCCGAATTTTCCATTTTTAATGATGATTGACGAACAGGTTGTGGTGGTTAGTTTCTCTTGGTTTGTCACTTTGGCTATGCGGCTCGATGATCCACAATTCTTGGTCGGATTGGAACGAAAATCCACTGACTTTTGACTCCAGCAACAAGGCACACATTTCAACGATTCCATTTCCAACAGTGACCATTTGTCCGTATATTAAAACCTTGAAACATAAATTGGATATATCATCGAAATTAAACAGCAAGTTTGAATTGATTGCAAACTTATCTGACACAGAGTATGGAGTTTCATACACTAGAGATTTCGTTTTCCATTTTGCTCAACCAATTTCCGCATTGATTACCTCAGGTCTAAACAGTTGAATGCATTGGCTCATATTTGTCCACTTTTGCCACAGCGTCTAAAGTCTAAGGAAAATTTTGCGACTGAATCAATTTATGACACAATAAAAAACTTAGCACCCAATCTGGAGTACACGATTCAATCGTGCTCTTGGAAACAGAAGCGGATCAATTGTTCTGAATTCATGTCCCCAATCTTAACATCTAATGGCCTTTGTTTCCAATTCAATGCATTAAACTCACGTGATATCTATACAACAGAGTGAGTTAAAGAAATTAAACCATGGCGAATAGAATTTATAAAAATGGAACATTTTCAGAATGGCCCCGAGTATAATGAAACACATAGATAGTCATCGGAATGCGCCATTCTGGAGCTTGGAAAATGAATACAACGAAGGGTTTATCGGAAAAGATTACCCGATGCGAGTGTTTAGCTCGGGCCGTGAAAATGGCCTTGAATTGATTCTTTCTACTCGCACAAGCGATCACGATTCTCGTTGCAGCGGATTTCTTAAAGGATTCCAAATTTTCTTAACTTCGCCAGGCGATTTGTTAAAATACAATCCCCATTTTCGGATCCAACCTTCAGATGATACTCTCTATGTGATAAAACCCCGATTAAGAACTTCTCCAAAGAAACTGGGCAAATATCAACCGAAGCAACGTAAATGTTTTTTCGACTTCGAACGTCGATTACGATTCTTCAAATCTTATTCGCTACAGAATTGCATGGATGAGTGTACAGCGAATTTCACAATGAAAAAATGTGGATGTGTGCAGTTTTCTATGCCAAGTATAACAATTTACTTTCAATGTTCTAAGCGCAAGATGTTTATATTTTCAAATGTTAACAGGGGACAAAAACACTAGAATTTGTGGTGCGTCAAAAATAAACTGCTATGAAGAGGCTACTACAAAATTCATTTATGGAAAAAAAATGCATTGCAACTGTTCAGAAGCATGCATGTCTATTGATTACAGTGGGAAATTTGATCAAATGAAGCGAACATTTGGTCAAAATGGAACGAACAACCTGATGTAAATATAGGAAAAACTTTGAGAGGATTCAAGAGTGATATATTTACCTGTTTGTGCTATTTCCGGTTTCTTTGCTAGTCAAACAAGATTGACCATTTTCTTCGAGGACGATTACATTCGAACGAACATTGCGGTTGAAACGTACACAATCGGCGATTTTCTGTCGATTTGTGGCGGTTTACTCGGACTATTTCTGGGTGTCTCTGCAATAAGCGTTATTGAGCTAATTTATTACGCCACTCTTCGTCTCTTCTGGACCATTCGTTATTCGAGAACGGAAAATACCGAAAAACCATCTAAACAGACCAGTCATGATGATCAAATAGATCAGAATACAAAAAATCGAGAGGTTTGTCATCGAAATAGAGACAATATTGAGATGATATATGCATTATAATGTACGTGAAACGGGTACAATTTTCATTTTTAGGTAAAATGGATAATTCTTTTTGTTCGGAGGATGCAGACATGGTTCATGATATTCTGTGCAAACAGCAACATTCATGGCGTTCGATATATCAGCAAACGACGGCTACACTGGAGCGAAAGGTTTTCATTTCATTTTCATGGGTTTTCTCTCATTTCAATGAGTTTTATTTCCATATGGTGTTATGATCGCATCGAAATCAGGCTCTGGTGGTTGGTTTTTGTTGGTGTGTCCGTTTGTTTGTGTGGTTTAATGATTCGTGGCGTTTGGATTCAAAAGCTAGAGGATCCAGTGAAATTGGACATGGCGAAAGATGGGAACGATAGAATCATTCCGTTTCCAACCGTTACCATTTGCCCTGAAACTAAAACTGTTAGAAGTAAATTGGACGTAACTAGGGCAGTCAAGACTTCAGCTAATTTATCTGCAATAGAGTAAGGAAGTTTGGAAGCAGATTATATATTCAATTGCTTCAACAAATCGCGAATATTCTCTATAAGCGAATTTCTTGCACTTCCACAGAATCACTCGAATTAATGCTTTGGCTCACATATGCCCTCGATTGTCGGATTCAATTGAGTATACAGATAATCTAACGACGGATGCAATTTATGACACAATTCAAGACATTGCACCTAGAATGATTCAATCAGAAATGAGGTGTGTTTGGCAAGTTCAATGGAAAAAATGTTCAAAACTATTTGTGCCTACTTTAACTGAAGAAGGGCTTTGTTTTGCGTTTAATGCTCTCAATGTGCATGATATTTATACAGACGAGTGAGTTTTTATAGTGTTTTCAGTCATTATGATTACGAAGTTTGAAGTTTTACTTTCAGATTGGCCCCAGAAATGATGAACATGAACAATAATGATCTGAATGTATCAGGATGGACTCTAGACAGTGGATACGCGAACGAATCGGCGGGGGATAATTACCCGTTTCAGTCGGCACAATTAGAGGAAGTAAATAGATTGATCTTAACGGTTGCATCTTTTCGAAGTGACATGGATTATCAATGTAGAGGAATCGACCAAGGACATAAACTATTCTTAACCACGCCCGGTGAAACACTGACTCCATCACGAAAATATGTGCGACTTCCGATTTTAACACTAAATATGGTTGAGATCATTCCAAGCGTAATCACAGCTACAGAGGTAGTACGCGATTTTGAGCCACACCAGCGAAAATGCTTTTATAGCTTTGACCGTCCATTGCGTTTCTTCAAAATTTATACGAAAATCAATTGCGAAGAAGAGTGTTTGGCGAACTTCACGCGAATCGAATGTGGATGCGTGAAATTTTCGTCCCCAAGTATGGAACCTTCTTAATTTTTAATTGCCGAATGTGGATAAGAAAATCCTTTTCTGCTATTCACAGGAGACAAACACACAAAAATCTGCGGTGGGGCAAGTGTAAAGTGCTACAAATTGGCAAAAAGGAAACTATTTACCAGCAGCAATGGCAAAGCATTTTATGACAAGTGCAATTGTTTGCCATCGTGTACGTATGTGGGATATGATGCAGTTATCTCTAGAACAGATATCGATCTCGAGACTCTTAAGCAAATTAGCAAACGGTTCTCTGAGGAGTAAGAGTCCTTCGCCATGAAGTATGTGCCATAATACATTCTGATTTATTCCACTATTTTCAGATTTTGCCTCACAACTTCTATCCTTCGTTTTAAAAGTCTTAGAAGTCTGAATGTGAAATCAATGAACAGGAAAGAGTTGTACACTTTTACTACTGATTTTTTGGCCGTGTGTGGCGGATTACTTGGATTATTCTTGGGTGTTTCTGTTCTGAGCATCTTTGAACTCATTTATTACTTGACGCTTCGCTTATTTTGGTTCAACCGCCGTGTGGCAAGGGCCGAAAATGTGGTGGTACCATTTAATCATGAGGCAGTAATTGAATTAGCCGCATGAAAATGCAATTAATCACAATTGGCACTCGATGCACGTTATTCAATTCATATGAAATTATTTAAATAGAAGAGTGAATGCGACTTTGTGCTAGATTCTTATGAGCTTTATTGATGTCTGTCCAACCAAGTTTATTCGATCGAAAAAAATCTACATTCTCACTGAAAATTACTATGTGTTTTAGTTGGAAAAGGTAAATTGCTTCATTTTATATTTCGAATCATTTTTTCGACAGTGAATTTGATGTTTTTTAACCTCGAATTTTGTAATAGAAATGAAATGTTGAAAATATTGTAACATTGATTTGAATATGATATTCCATAGGATCTTTGAATTCATCGCAATTGTTCAACTTCAATTTTGATACGATGCACAACAAAATATTTAATAAGCTTCCTAGGGTTCGAGAGCGGCACCCTCATTTAAAAGTAATAGTAGTGTTGTCGGTAACTAGCTGTTCAATTTCTAACGATTGATTGTATGTTACTGATTTGCTTTGGTGTAAACACTTTACCAGTTGACTTATTTGAAGTGGCATCTGATGACTGCAATCCGGCATTATTACTTTTCCGTACACAACGTGTCAAGGGAAAGTATAGGAATTGGTCCCGAAAACTTTTTTCGCAAAATTAGCTTAGATCATCATAACAACTCATGAAACGCGTAGAAAACCACTTTTTGAGACACTTTTCCGTTCGTGTGCCGTCGTTGTCGTTGTCATCGTCGTTGGTGTTTGTTAACACGATAACTCAAAAAATAATTGAGATAATCAAAATCTGGAAATGCCAAAATCTTTGTATCCGAAAAACATAGTTTAAGTTCGAAGATGAGCCATTTCCGATTTGACCCTGGGGTACTTGCCCTAAGAAAAACCTCAAAAAATTGACACTTTAGGTACCTGTAAATCGACTCCGATTGGCTTCAAACTTTCTGGGATTTGGGAAAAAAATAAGATTCTGAAAGTTTGAAACCAATCGGAATCGATTTACGGGTACCTCCCATACAAATTTTTTGAAATTTTGACTAAATTTACCGATTTTTGGACAATTTTGTATGGGAGGTACCCGTTAATCGATTCTGAATCGATGGCATTTGCAGAAGTTTGGTTTTTGGCCTTCAATTTTTTCCAAGAAAATGTCGACAAAAATTGAGGACAAAAAATCAAACTTCTGCAAATGCGATCAAGATGAAACTTTCAGAATCTTATTTTTTCTCCAAAAAATGAAACCTCAGAAAGTTTAAAGCCAATAAGGATCGGGTTACGGGGCTGGAATTCTAAGTCATTCCACCAAAATCGTTCGGAATTATTTTTTTCGTACATAAGACCATATTGGAGTGAAAGAGAGAGATTCCACTATTTTTCAGCGGGCCACCGGAATTATTTCGATAACTCAAGGAAGAGTGGATTGTGTGAGAAATAATTCCGGTGGCCCGCTGAAAAATAGTGGAATCTCTCTTTCTTTCACTCCAATATGGTCTTATGTACCAAAAAAATATTTCCGAACGATTTTGGTGGAATTCTCAGAATTCCAGCCCGGGTACCTCCCATGCAGAATTGTCGAAGTTTTAGTTAAAGTGAGCGATTTTTCAATTTATTTTTATTATTATATTTTCACTGCCTTTATTTCAAGAAAATTCACAAAAAATAACCAAAAGTACCTACGGACAACGCAGGCCAACGGTACGGAAAAGTTCGGGATTACCAATGTAATTCTTTTTATCTTACATAAAAGATTGATAAAGTCAACAGAATTCTATTTCTCATTTCTTATCAAAAAGGCTTCTAAAATGAAAAAAATATTTAGAAAAAACCTGTCAATTTATCCACAACATTTGAAGCAAATGCGGCGAGTTCTCAAACTATATCAACACTTACATATTGAAACTCCGATGCAGCGTTTGGTTCTGTCCCAGAAAAAATATCTAGATATAAACGAGATAATCTCAAAAATTTCCAAATCTATCCAGATATCTTTTTTAAATTTATCTTTTCTTTTATCTTTTTTCCGAAAAAGATAGATATCTTTGAGCTATCTTAAGATAATCTTTTTTGAAATATATCATTCTTTATTCATATGTCAATTTGATGAATTTTTTTTCAATTTTTTTTTGTTCTAAGAAAAATGCACGAAAATTGGCCAAAAAATTTTAATTTTTGAAAAATATCCCAATCAACAAAAAATTTCAG